TGAGTTAGTTGATTGAGGAACTTGGATGGAGTTTCTTCCTTTTTTTGGAGAACATCTTGGACCCTTTGGAAATTAACAACTTTGCGGGCAGCCTTTTTAAGACTGGCCAGGAGGCAGGAACTAAAATGATCCCTGGCCTGGATTCCCTGTGGTGTGTTGTTATCCCAATGTGGATCATGTTCGGGGACTGCCTGGGGGCCAATGGGGAGAGCAGGGTTTGTGCGGTGAATTTCATCTGCATGGCTCCGAGCTGCGCCCCAGACACGGTTGCATTCCTCGGGAAGGAGGGTGTTGGCCAGGAGCATATAGATGTCATGATGTGTGAGACTGTATGCCTGAAGGACCCATTGAAATTCTTTAATGTAAGTAGAGGGGTCAGTGGTGAAGGACCCTAACCTCTTTTCCAGTTGGGTGAGATCAGCTAATGAAAAGGGAACGTGTACCCTAACAACCCCTTCAGCTCCAGCCACCTCACGGAGAGGAGCCGTGGTGGAGGAAGGGAGGAGTCCTTGGGAACAAGTTACAGGGGGGCTAAAGGAAGGCGCCAGAGCAGGTGAAATAGGAGTCGACAGGGAATAAGATGGCGGCAAGGTGGGGCTAGAAAATGACGGGGCAAAAGATGGCAGCAGAGGAAGTGATGGGGTGAGAGAAGATGGCGGCAGAGTCGCTTGTGGGGGTTGAGGGACAGAAAATGGCGGAGAGGCGGGGCTGGAAGAAACAGGGGAGGAGGAGGCAGGAGGGAGAACAGGCTGGCTAGGTGAAGCAGAAGATGGCAGCAGAGTTAACTGAGGGGGTTGTGGAGCAGAGGGAGTTACAGGAGGAGGAGACCTGTATGGAGGGGGTTCATCCGTGGGGTCAAAATTATCAGAAGTAGGGGGTAGTGGAGGCGGTGAGGATGGAGGGGGTTTGGAAGCAGGAAAACCTGGGAAGGATAACAGGTGAGACAGTAAGAGGGATTTTGAGCAAGTAGGCAGAAAGCCTCAACGTATGGAATCTCTTTCCATTTTTGCAGGCTGGCAGTAATTAAAGAGATCCCGGAGAATATCGGGATCGAGCGTGCCCTCAGGGGGCCACTTACTTTGGTTATCTAGAGGATAATAAGGCCAATCTTGTGTGCAAAATTTGGTTAGGAGTTTGGGTTTAATGTCAGGCTTGAGGGATAAAGCGGTGAGATTGTTTAAGAGACATTGTAAGGGTGAATCGCCCCGAAGTGAGGAGGCAGAAGCTCCCATTCCGAAAAAAGGGTTTAGAGCAGAGAAGTCAGAGGAGGATTAAAAATGAGTCCTTCGGCTGGATGAGAATCACGGGACTCAGAGGGCGTCCCCAATGAGACGCACCAATCTCAAGGGAGAGGTTCAATTATGAACCCGGAGAGAAGGGGGTGTAGGTCGTCACCTAGACCCTCATTTCCCTTAGGCGAATTTGCCCGGAGCCGGAAGGAACCTAGCATGCTAGGGTTTTGATGGACGGCGGAGGTCCAGGACCCGGTAGTAGGAAGGTTAAAAGGCGTGAGAGAAAGAGAGAGGAATGGGGCTTAGCCTCCAGGGCCAGGGGAATGTGATTAGAAGGTTTAAATAATCTACAAGCCTGACAAAAGGAAAAAGGGGGCTTACCTAACAGATGAGCCGGTGGTGGGTGAAGGAAGCCAGCGCCGGAGAAAATAGACGAGGGCGGACCGTCAGTCCTGGGGGGTTGCGGAGGAGTCCGAGGAAGGAGTCCCCTAGCACGGGGTGAACTCCTCCCAGGTTTCAGCACCAATGAAAGGGCGCGTGGATGAAGGAGGCTCACGAGACCCAGGCTGACAGTTCACCAGAGAAGTTCCACTTTATTCAACGACCGCGCGTATATTTATAGGGAGCTGCGTTCCGGGTTTGGATAGGGGGTGGATGGGGCGGTAGCTGATTGGACGGGGTTGGGCGGGAGGTGGGCCTTGACCTGTGACTGGTTGAGGTTTGGCGCCAGCGGGCTTGTTTACTGCAGAGAAGAACCCGGAAGAGCGCCATATTGCCAGGGAATGTCCCTGTTCGGGCACCCATGAAAGAGAAATCGGGTGCCTGTGGAACCCCTACACCTACCCCCACACCTGGTGCTTTCCTCTATTTTGAGGGCAGCCCTGGGCTGTCCTCCACTTTGAGCGCAGCCCGGCAGATTCTTTTCCTTTAATAAAGCTTGATCGGTACCTGACATCTTGGCTCACTTTCTTTCAGGACAAAAGGTTTTCTCCTGTTATGTCTCTTCAGGCAAAATATTTAAGGGCCCCTCTTAATGTTTGCAGGGCAGGCAATGAAGACCAGATCTGCAGCTGAGAGGCTATCAATTGATACTGGACACAACTGGCATTAGAGGATGTGAGAAATGGGTTTCATTTGGGAAGATACTGGGGGTTGAGATTAGGAAAGCAGATTTTTTAAAAACTATTTCCTCTCTTGAACGAACAGGATATGAGAATCCACTAAAGCCTTTACCCTTAGAGCTGGCACATGACGTTTGATCCCTAAACACTTCTGTCATGCCAAATGCCAACTGCTGTTAAAAAGAAAACAAAAATCCTGCTTCTGGAATGTTCTATCTGCTTTCAGAAAATCTTTTGTGCTGGTAGGTGTGTTTAAAAAGACATAGGGAGAGGGTGCTGGCTGGTGGCTCACTAGGGAGAGTGTGGTGCTGATAACACCAAGGTCAAGGGCTTGGATCCCTGTACTGACTTTACTGGGCTTACAGAATAGGTTTGATGAATCGTTTTATCCCTGCTTCCTAATGTATATTATATCCATGCTTTTTAACCATTAGCAAAGCAAAGTTTTTTGTGGCTATCACCATCTACCAAACATAACCTAAGAGTTGTGGGGACTAATGGGTTAGCTTAAGTTGCTTGGGTCAGTTTGCAGCACACACATCCATGCAGTCTCTCACTTCTGGGAATTTGTACTTGCTGTATCTCCTTTCTAGACAATTCCAAGATGGAATTTAATGTGCATGAATTTTATTAGGGGAACTGTCTCTGTAAGAGAAAATGGGAATGGAACCTGAGAAAGCTGGAGGGCCATTAGGCCACAATGCAAGTCTGACCCTAAGTAAGGAAGAAAAGGAGAGAAGTTTGGGTAAAAGTGTCCTAGACTGCAGCATAGTCTAAGGAAGGCTTGTCTAGCCCCTGGGGAGTCCTCCAGCTAAGGGTGACCATCAGAGGAGCCATGTCTCCCAGGAACAGGTTTGCCTTAGTGTCCATCCCTGCCTGGCTCAGTCACTGGGAGCAGCCCAAGGGAAGCACGACCTCAGTGCAGAGAATAGATTTTACAGCCCAGCAGACTATGAAATCTATGAATTTCAGAGCCATGGTGAATTATGCTCCCTGTGGTTAGAGGCCTTCAAGGAGCAGTCTCATGGCTACCACATCTTATCAGTTGTTTTTCTCTATTCGCTCTTTGTAAAACAGTCCCACAGAATTGTAAAACATTAACATTTTACCACAGAATGGTAAAAACGTTTCACAGACTGGTTACAAGGTACATTCTATTTTTTTTTTTTTTTTGGTGGCTGGTTGGGGATCTGAACCTTGGTGTTCTTTTTTAACTTTTTTAATTTTTAATTTTTTAAAAGATGACTGGTAAGGGGATCTTAACCCTTGACTTGGTGTTGTCAGCACCACACTCACCCAGTGAGCTAACTAGCCATCCCCATATGGGATCCAAACCCATGGCCTTGGTGTTATCAGCACCACACTCTCCTGAGTGAGCCATGGGCCTGAACCTTGGTGTTATATCACTGTGCTCTAACCAATTAAACTAACTGGCCAGCCTTCAAGGTACATTCTAAGAAAACAAAATAATTTGAGTGGTCTTGGGAGTAGATTAAAACTGGATTAGTTCCAGGTATCAAGCAATATAAAGACAGCAAGAGAAAAGGAAGCAAGGGAGGAAAGAGTTTGCCCTCAGCATTTGGGACTAGTATTTAGGAACCCCTGTCATGGATCATAAGGGGATGCACGAGATTCTACAGGCCATAATATCCAACCCCCTCATTTTATTTAAAAAATTTATTTCATGTATTGATTTTTCTTCACCCCGTCATCTTACTTATTTATTTAAAAGGTGACTGGTAAGGGGATCTTAACCCTTGACTTGGTGTTGTCAGCACCACGCTCTCCCAGGTGAGCTAACCGGCCATCCCTATATAGGGATCCAAACCCGTGGCCTTGGTGTTATCAGCACCACACTCTCCCGAGTGAGCCACGGGCTGGTCCTACACCCCCTCATTTTAGAGGTGAGATCCAGAAAAGAGAGACAACTTCCCAATGCGGCGCAGCAAGCTAGTCGCAGAGCCAGGCTACAACCAGGTCCCCAGACTCCCGGGTCATTTATTCATGAAGGCCTTGTTCCGGCTGCATGCTATACTCTAGGAGTACAGAATTAGTGACGACTCTCTGAATGAACTCAGCTCCTGCCTCCAAGGAACCTCAGAGGAGGTGCTGGGGCTGGATCTTAGAAAGTGGGTAGGAGTTTGCGGACATCTGGAGCTAGAGGGGACAGTGGGGAGGGCATTCGAGGTCCTGTGCGCAGAAGGGAGGCCGGAAACGGCGCTGGGTCGGAAATTACCAGCAGAGCCGTCTGTCTCGAGTGGAGTGATGGGCTGAGGGGCACTGGCGAAGGCCGCAGGGAATCGCTGGGGGTGTTTCGTGCCAATACAATAGTAAGAGCTCCAATCTAGCTCCCTGGTTGGAGGGCGGGATGGAGTAGCCAAGGAGCGTGTGTCCGCGAGGGCAGGGCAAGCACGGGGGCTGTCCGGCCCCGCCCCACCTCACCTCCCGGAACCGCGGGCTGCCCCTGCCTTCGGCCAATAGCAAACGTGGCCGCGACCGCGGGTTCTTCCGCTGGGGCGTGCGTGCCAATACAATAGTAAGAGCTCCAATCTAGCTCCCTGGTTGGAGGGCGGGATGGAGTAGCCAAGGAGCGTGTGTCCGCGAGGGCAGGGCAAGCACGGGGGCTGTCCGGCCCCGCCCCACCTCACCTCCCGGAACCGCGGGCTGCCCCTGCCTTCGGCCAATAGCAAACGTGGCCGCGACCGCGGGTTCTTCCGGTGGGGCGTGAGGTCAAGGGTCACACAAGATGGCGGCGCCCAGGAGCCGCTGAGGCGTGAAGCGGAGGATGGCGTTGACGACGCTGGCGTCGGGGGCTCGGCTGGCACGGCGGCTGAGCGGGCCCGGGCTGGTGCGAGGGCACTGGACGGCTGCCAGGCGCTCGCGGAGCAGGCGCGAGGCGGCGGAGGCCGAGGCGGACGCGCCCGTGTTCCAGTACGTGGGCGAGCGCGCGGCCCGGGTCGACCGCATCTTCGTGTGGGGATTCAGCTTCTCGGGGGCCCTGGGCGTGCCCACCTTTGTGCTGCCCGGCTCCGGACCCCAGCCCCGCGCCGGCTCGCGGTCGCGCCGCAGGATCCAGCCCGTGCCCTACCGCCTGGAGCTGGATCAAAAGGTACGGGTCGCGGCTTCCTGCCTCCTTCTCTTTAGCACTCCCAAACTCCGCCGCTCCCCGTTCTCCATGCCCGACGCCTTCGGTCCTCTTCGAGAAGTTGGCTACGCTGGGTGGCCGACTTCTGGGAGGACAAGTCTCGAACTGGCTGCAAGCCCCAGACGGGAAGGTTAAGGGTGGCTGTCAACATATATGGGGTGACTGAAACGTGCCAGATGTTGTGCCCGCCTCGTGTCATTTGCTCAGCACCCCGTGAGTCAGGAGTCGTCGTCCTTAGTTACAGGGAAGGAAAGTGAGGCTGAGAGAGGTTAAGGCCCGAGGCCCCACCGCAGGTAGGTACATGGGATTCGCACTCGGGCCAGTCTACTCCAGTTCTCATCTTAGGAAAGCAAAGTTCAGGAGCTCAGAGAGGGCTGTCCGGTTAGCTCAGTTGGTAAGAACACAGCCTGGTAACACCAAGGTCACTGGTTCGGATTCCCGTACTCCCCCCCCCCCCCCAATAACGTTAGAGAAAACGTGGACCGGCTGCCGTTGGATAAACAACTCCAAAGGAAAATGTTAACTCGAGCAGTTACAGGAATAAGCGAGAAAGGAGATCTAAACACCTAGGTGCACAGGATTCCTCTGGATAAGCTCAGATTTTAAAAGGTCACAACAAAGGACAGCTGCCTGAGGGCATTTAGTCTCAGGAGCCAACACTGAGAAGAGCAAAAATGGATACTTAGCCAAATGGATACTTAGGATCGGTTCTTGCTTGGAAATGGTTGTGGAAATCTTGGTGGGTAATGAAAAAGAAGCATACTTGTCCAGTTTGGCTTCTGACTTGTCTGCCTAGAACAGCAAATGATCTTTTAACTAGAAATGAAGATCAAGAGAAACGGAATTTAAGCTCCAGATCAATGAAAAGTTGGGTACTTGGACTTTTTAATATTGAGTTGTAAGAATTCTTTGTGTATTCCGTATGTATGCCTTTCATCACATGGTATGTACAAATCCTTTCTCCCCATTGTGGTTTTTCTTTTCTTTTCATTTATTTGTTTATTTATTAATTATTCATTCATTCATTCAGTGGCTAGCTGGTAGGGGGATCTAAACCTATGACCTTGGTGTTATAAGGCTGTGCTGTAACCAACTGAGGTAACCGGCCAGCCCCTTTATTTTCTTAATAGTGTTTTGAAGAGCAAAAGTTTTAAATTTTGATGAAACCGTAGGGTTGATAGCGATGTCTCCTTTCATTTCTTGATTTTGGTAATTTGTCGCTTCACTTTTTTTTTTCTCTTGGTCATTCTAACTTAAAAACTTGTCAATTTTATCAGTCTTTTGAAAGAACTAACATTTTATCTATTTTTCTGTTTCATTGATTTCTGTTTTAATTTTTATTGTTTCCTGTTTTCTTCTTGCTTTGAGTTTAGTTTGCTCTTCTTTTCTAGTTTCTTAAGATCGAAGGTTAGGCTTTTGAATTGAGATCCTTCTTTTTTAATGTAGGCATTTATAGCTGTAGTTTTCCCTCAGAGTAGCTGCTCATAAATTCTGATATTTTTGTTGTATTTTTGTCTTCATTTACTTTATTATTTATTTATTTATATATTTATTTTTGCAGCTGGCCAGTGTGAGGATCTGAACCCGTGACCTTGGGGTTATAGGCCGCACTCTAACCAACTGAGCTAACTGGCCAGCCCAAATAACCAGTGAACACTTTATTTTTCAGTTTCCCTTGTGATGACTTCTTTGACCCATAAAGTTTTTTTTTTTTTTTCCTTTTTGTCTTTTTTCGTGTCTGGCAATGGATCGCAACCCTCAGTGTCGCGCCTGTACTGGACCGGGACCGGCAACGGGATCACAACCCTCGGTGTTACGCCCGTACCTCGCTCAGCCAGTGAGCGGGAACTGGTCTGTATGTGGGATCCGAACCCTCGGCGGGAGCACGCTGCTGCGCTCCCAAGCGGCGCACTGTAGCAGTACGCCACCAGGCCGGCCCGACCCATAAAGTTTTTAGAAGGGTTTGATTTCCAAATATTTATGGATTTCCGTAATTCTTTTGTTGACTTCTAATGTAATTCTGTTGTGATTGGAAAAAATACTTTAATTTCAGTCTTTTAAATTTACTGAGACTTTGTTTTATGGTCTAGAGTATGGTCTGTTCTGGGGAATGTTCCAGGTGTGCTTGAAAAGTATGTGTATTCTGCTGTGGTTTAGTGGACATAATTGAGGATTTGTTTATTTCTTTTCCCCATGGCTGACTGGTATGAGGATCTGAACCCTTGACCTTGGTGTTACAAGGCTGCTGTGAGCGCGCCGGTCATCCCTATATAGGATCCGAACCCGCGGCGGGAGCGCTACTGCGCTCCCAGCGCTGCACTCTCCCGAGTGCGCCACTGGCTCGGCCCAGTTGACTTATTTTCAAGTTCACTCATCTTTTGCCTGCTTAAATCTACTATTGTGCTTGTTTAGTGAATTTTTTTTTTAAAGATGACTGGTAAGGGGATCTTAACTCTTGACTTGGTATTGTTAGCACCATTCTCTCCCAAGTGAGCTAACTGGCCATCCCTATATAGGGATCCGAACCCATGGCCTTGGTGTTATCAGCACCACAATCTCCCAAGTGAGCCATAGGCTGGCCCTAGTGAATTTTTAATTTTAGGGCTGGCTGGTTAGCTCACTTGGTTAGAGCTGATAACACCAAGGTCAAGTATTTGGATCCCCTTACTGACCAGCTGCCAAAAAAAAAAAAAAAGTTTAGTTATTGTACTTTTCAACATCAGAATTTCTTTTTGGTTCTTCTAAAAAAAATTTTTTTTTTTTGTCCTTTTTGAGATCGGCCGCACCGTGCTCAGCCAGTGAGCACTTTGAGCACACTGATCACCCCTACATAGGATCCGAACCCACGGCAGGACTGCTGCCGCCCTCCCAGTGCTGCACTCTCCCGAGTGCGCCACGGGCTCGGCCCTAAAATTTTTATCTCTTTATTGACATTCTCTATTTGATGAGACATTGTTCTCATATTTTCCTTTAGTTTTCAGATGTGGTTTCTTTTAGTTCTTTGAATATATTTAAAATAGTCAATTTTGAAGTCTTTGTCTAGTAAGTTCAATACCTGGGCTGCTTGCAGAGCAGTTTTTGTTGCTTTTTTTCATCATGAGTATAGGCTATACTTTATTGTTTCTTTTCATGTTTCTTCTTTACTTTCTTGTTGAAAACTGGACATTTATTTATTTATTTATTTTAAAAAATTGAAATATAATTGATTATACATATTTATGGGATACAGAGTTGACCATCAGTATTTGTGTACAGTATGTGATGATCAAATCAATATTATTAGCATGGAAAAGTAGACATTTAAAATGACATAATGTAGCAGCTCTGAAAATCAAGCTCTTTTACCCCCCCAGGGCTTGTCATTGTTACTATTTGTTTAGTGACTTTTCTGAACTAATTATGTAAAATCTGACTTCTTTGTCATGTGTGGCCACTGAAATTTGTTTTCTTACCTTAGTGGACAGCTAATAATTGGACAGAGATTTCCTTAACTGTCTGAAAACAATAGATCTCCCCATCTTTGCCGAAGGCTTTGTGTGAATGTTGGGGCACACCTTTGACACTTAGCCAGACAGTTTACAGTTCCATGTCAGCCTTTCCTTTCCACTTGTGCAGAGCCTTTCCAGGTCAGTCAGAAGGGAGAGCTTAGGGGCTTCCCAGGTCTTATCTGAGCATGGACACAACTCTACACAGGTGTGTGGCATTCTAGATTCCCGAGAATATGTCCGTGTCTTTCAAAGATCCCTGTGGACATCTCATTCCCCATCTTTTCCTTTTGAGCTTCTTGGTTAACCTATGGCTTACCCACCTGTTATCCATCACCTCAAGCAGCTGCAATGTTCCAAAAATAGCCTCTGATTGTTTTCAACAAATGTCCCTAGAGTAAGAGCTGTTTGTATTGGGTGAAATTAGGCTGTGTCAAGTAAAGACAGTCTTGCCAGTGGTGTTTCTAAGGGAACCACCAGACAGGTCAAATAATGAGAATTTGCTGGGATTGGAGCTTTGAAGTTGCTGCAATCCCATTCTGCCTCTTCCAGTGGTTGCCAGACTGCTGGTTTTCACTGTGATTGTGGGCTCTTAGTTTTCAAGACTACTGCGTGGCTGAGGAGAGGTGGATGGGAGTAAGTCAAGATAAAACATGACAAAGCTCACTGTTCTTACCAAGATTTAGCTGCTTTTTTTGAATAAAAACCCCTGATTGCTGTAAGTCTGGTTAATTTCCAGAGTTCTGAAAAGGTTGATTCTGACGTTGTTTGCCAGTGTTCTGATTGCTCTATCATTTTTGCTGATGTCACTGAATCTATGTTCTTTTAATGTAATTTATTGATATGGTTGGATTACATCTGCCATTTTGCTGTTTGTTTCAGTATGCCTTTTTTCTTTATTCTGTTGTTCTTTCTTTACTGCTGCCTTTTGTGTTAACTTTGTATTTTTCTAGTGTACCTTTTAAATTCCTTTGTTGGTGGTAAATACAAATATACACAGTAAAGAAGACTTTTTAAAAATTTATTTGTTTTTAATTGAAACATAATTGATTGTACATATCTGTGGGGTACAGCTTTGAATATAAATACCTCTGTGCAATATGTGATATGCAAATCAGGATAATTAGCATATTCAACCTTATACATTGTAATCATTTTTGTGGCCCTTTACCAATTTCTCTCTAACCCCTCCTCCCCCTTATTTTTATTTTTAGAGAGGGAAAGACTTTATTCAAGGATTGTTACTACAGTGGGGTTTTGTAGTTGGGGAGAGAGATCAGGCTCAACTAACCTATTTTTTTGAGTTTTTTTTACAGTGGTTGCTCTTGGGATTATAATGTACATCTTAATTTGTCACAGTATAACATCAAAACTGCTATTAGGTTAATTGTGAACTAATTCTGAAAAGTATAGCAACTTTGTTCTGACAAAGCTCCATTTTCTCCCCTCTCCTTTGTGTGGTTAATGTGATATATTTTACACCTTCATATGTTTTAAGCTCAACAATACAGTTTTGTAATTGTTATACATTTGTCATTTAAATCATTTAAGAGAAGGAAAGGGAAAAGAATATACAGTTATTTATATTTACCTGTATAATTACTTTTGCTGGTGCTCTTCATTTTTTGATTCTTCTTGTGAGCAGTTACTATCTGCTGTCATTTCTTTTCAGCCTGAAGGACTTCATTAGTACTTGCTAAGGCAGGTCTGCTAGCAGTGAATTCTCTCAGTGTTTGGGAGTGTCTGTACTTTAACTATTTTTTTTTTCCTTTTTGTCTTTTTTTCGTGACCGGTAACGGGATCGCAACCCTCGGTGTCGCGCCCGTACCGTGACCGGCAATGGGATCGCAACCCTCGGTGTTGTGCCCGCACCGCGCTCAACCAGTGAGCGGACCGGTCTCCATATGGGATCCGAACCCTCGGCAGGAGTGCCACCGCGCTCCCAAGCGCCACACTCTACCGAGTGCGCCACCGGGCCGGCCCTGTACTTTAACTTTTTAAGGATAGTATTGCTGGGTATAGAATTCTTGGTTGACAGTTTTGTCTTTCAGGACTTTGTGTTATTCCACTGGTTTATGGTTTCTGTTGTTTCTGATGAGAGGTTAGCTGTTAATCTTATTGTTGTTCCCTTGTACTTGATGAGTCAGTTTTTTGCAGCTTTCAAGATTTTCTCTTTGTCTTTTTTTTTTTTTTCCCCCCCCAAAGATGACCGGTAAGGGGATCTCAACCCTTGGCTTGGTGTTATCAGCACCGCACTCTCCCGAGTGAGCCACGGGCTGGCCCTCTTTGTCTTTCAACAGTTTAACTGTGATTTGTTGAGCAACTTTGTCTTTTTTTTTTTTTAAAGATGACCGGTAAGGGGATCTCAACCCTTGGCTTGGTGTTATCAGCACCGCACTCTCCCGAGTGAGCCACGGGCTGGCCCTCTTTGTCTTTCAACAGTTTAACTGTGATTTGTTGAGCAACTTTGTCTTTTTTTTTTTTTAAAGATGACCGGTAAGGGGATCTTAACCCTTGACTTGGTGTTGTCAGCACCATGCTCATCCAGTGAGCAAACCGGCCATCCCTCTATGGGATCTGAACCTTTGGCCTTGGTGTTATCAGCACCACACTCTCCCAAGTGAGCCACAGGCCGGCCCTTTTGAGCAACTTTGATCTGTAGATTTGTTTTTCATAAAACTTGGGAATATTTTTGCTATTATTTCTTTAAATATTTTTTCTTGCCTCTTTTTTTTTTTTTTTTTCCCTCTCTTCCCCTTCTGGGACTCCCCATTACATAAATGTTGATACACTTGTGTCACAGATACCTGAAGCATTTTTTTTTTTTCTTTTCCTAATTTTTTTTTCCCTGTTCTTTAGAATGGGCAATTTTTGTTGATTTTTCTTCAGGTTAACTGATTCTTCTGCTGTCTCAAATCTGCTGTTTATCTAGTGAGTTTTTTATTTTGATTATTGTACTTTACAATTCCAGAATTTCCATTTTAGGTTTTTAATGTAGTTTTTATTACTCTACTCAGATTCCCTATTTGTTAAGTCATCATCATCATTTTTTCCTTTAATTACTTTTTAAAAAGCTTTATTGCAGTTTAATTGATATACAGAAATTTCACATATTTTTATATTTTAATGAGTATGGACTTCCTTTAATTTCTTAAAAAATGGCTTTAAAAAGTTTTTTGAACTGAAATCTTTGATTTACTGAAATCTTTGATAAATCCCACAGTGGGTCCACTTCATATCATTTTCTTTTGGCTTCTTTTTCCTCTCAGGTCATACTGTCTTGATTCTTTGCATGTAGTGTACTTTTTGTGTAGAAAACTGGACTTTTTGATGATATAACAACTTTGGATTCTGTTATTTTTCTTCCTGAGTTTTCTTAGTAATTTTTATGGACTTAATTTATAGAATTAATCTCCCCTGTTATGTGGCCACTGATGTCTTTGCTCAGTTTTTTGTTTTCTCTTTATTTAATTACTTTTCTAAAAGTCTGGCTTCTTAAGAGTTGCCCCCTATCTGCAGTACCATTGTTATCAGTTAATGATTTGGGTAGAGGTTGTGCTCAACATCATATGTTGATTCTGTGTGTAGGTTAGGGACTATATTCAAAGTTCTCATATCTGTCTCAGCCTCACTTTCCACAGGGTGCTCAGGTCTCCCCTGCTTATTTGTGTATTTTCCCAGTCAGCCATGGATGTATGGAGAGCCTTCTATGGCTCTCTCATTTCTAGGAGCTTCCTGTTACATTTCTGGCTGATCCACCTTTTCTCTTGCCTCAATCAGGATGGCAACCTCAGGCTTGCTGAGTTGTAGGTTTTCTTGTTTGTTTCCTATTCAGTTTGCTGCTAGGCATGTGTTTTCATCCTCTTCCCCAAAGTAAGTCTGTCCTTTCTGGCAGCCAAACTGATGGTTTTCACAGTCACCCCATCCTTTTAAAATGTCTGTGCTGAGCTTGGGTATATGGAGCAGCCCAACCCCAGAAGTCTGCAGACTCCTGCTATTCTTACCTGAAGTTCTAGCAGTTTTTTATGAGTAAATATTTCTTAGTTTATTTGCCTTTTATTGATTTGTAGAGCCCTGACATTTTTTTTTTCCAATTTCATCCAGTTGTATTTTTGTTTTTTGGGGCGAGATTTGCTAACCTCTTCACACCACCATAGTTGGAAGTCCCTTCTAGCACATTATCATCACAAACACTTACTTAATGCTGACTCTGTGTCAGTATTGTTCAAAGCCTTTTCAAATAGTAACAGATTTAATGATAACAGTACGTGCTCATCAAATATTTGTTGAATTTTAAATAAACAGGCATCATCAAACAATGAGAATAATCATAGTTTGCTGGGCGTCATTTTTAGACTTATCTCTTTTCTTTGTGGTCAGGGGCTTTTCCACACTCCCATCTAGGTCATTTCTGTCGAGCTGGAGCCATTCCAGACGTTTGGGGGCTCTAGGAGGCCAAAGAACTGAGGGTTTTTGACTAACACAAGGGTGCAGGTATATGTATTCCATATGAATGTTATGAGGGAGCATATCACAAGGCAAAAGAAGGGAAATGTCACTTTTTTTTTTTTCCTTTTTGTCTTTTTTCGTGACCGCCAACGGGATCGCAACCCTCAGTGTTGCACCCGCACCTCGCTCAGCCAGTGAGCGGCTGGTCTGTATGTGGGATCTGAACCCTCGGCGGGAGCGCCGCCGCGCTTCCCAAGCGGCACACTGTAGCAGTGCGCCACCGGGCCGGCCCCGGGAAATGTCACTTTTGGATGACTTGATTAAACAAGGCATCAAGAAGTCAATTTTTATTTTTATTTATTTATTTATTTTTTATTTTTATTTTTTTTCCTTTTTTTTGTCTTTTTTCATGACCGGCAACGGATCGCAACTCTCAGTGTCGCGCCCGTACCGGACCGTGACCGGCAACGGGATCGCAACCCTCGGTGTTGCCCCCGCACCTCGCTCAGCCAGTGAGCGGGAACCAGTCTGTATGTGGGATCCGAACCCTTGGCGGGAGCGCCGCCGCGCTTCCCAAGTGGCGCACTGTAGCAGTGCACCACCGGGCCGGCCCAAGAAGTCAATTTTTAAAGAAATGTTTAGGGCCGGCCCCGTGGCTCACTCGGGAGAGTGCAGCGTGCCGAGGCCACGGGTTCAGAACCTATGTAGGGATGGCCGGTGCACTCACTGGCTGAGCGTAGTGCGGACGACACCGTGCTGAGGGTTGCAATCCCCTTACCGGTCAGGGGGAAAAAAAAAAAAGAAGTATTTAGCTAGCATTTCTTTGAGAAATGCTGTAATAAAAAAAGGTTTCTCATATTTGTTCATGATCAGCAGCAAGCTGGCATTGCTATCAGGATTAGGTTAGATTTACATGTGGTCTCTGACAGAGACTACAGAGGCCTCTGATAAACTGTAAGCAGCTGCAAGATAGTGGGAGATAATTAGGGTGACAATATAATTTGTCATGCAATTTGTTTGAGAGTGAATGTTGGGATATTATATATAAACCAGGACCATCCCAGGCCAACTGGAAATATGGTTGCTCTGGGTAGTATGGAAGGAGGGTTGATTTTAAAATCAAACCACCTTCAGTTTTCTTCCAGCCCCACCAGACGCCCCAGTTTCTTCATCTGGTCAGTGAAGGTGAAGATTGATGACAGTGTGGGTAAAACACTTGACAAAGACCCTGGCACTGTTAGGGTGTTAAAGTCACAGTGACTATAATACTAATTCTTCCTCTTCATGGAAATAGTTTGAGAATGTAACAGTGTAGCATAAGGGTGGGTTAAGAGCATGCACTCTGGAATCAGACAGTTTCCATTTAGTAGGCAACTTAAGCTCTAGGAACTCAGTTTTCTCATCTACCTAATACTGCTTCTACTAACAGTAATAGTAAGTATGTTATACAACTCTTACATTAAGCCAGGCACTATTTACTGTAAGGTCTTTAGCTATGTTAACTAATTTAGTCTTCACAACAACCCAGTGAGAGAGATGCTATTATCATCTCCATTTTACACAAGGAAACAGATACAGAGAGGTAAAGTAATCTATCTCAGATCACATAGCTGGTAAGGGGTGGAGCCAAAATTCAAACTAAGGCAGTCTGTCAACTACTATGCTAGACTGTGTAGTGGTGGATGGGGATGATACTGTCTAGTTCATAGAATGTTTGTAAAGATTAATACATGTCGAACAGGTTGCAACTAACATTTATTGAGTGTTTACTATGATAATAGTGTGTGTTCTTGGATTTGGTAACCTGTCATTTATTGCTGAAGAAACTGGACATCCCAAATCAGTCAATGCTTTATGGGAACTCTTTTTCAGATTTCATCTGCTGCCTGTGGCTATGGATTCACATTGCTGTCCTCTAAAACCAAAGATGTTACAAAAGTTTGGGGTATGGGACTCAACAAAGATTCTCAGCTTGGATTTCACAGGAGCCGGAAAGATAAAAGTGAGCATCCTCACCTTGGCTTCTCTGTGCTGTGATCAGTCTGAGAAAGCTCAAGGACATGATTACATAAACCACACCATAACAGTAAAATAGATGGAGTCTTAAAGGGATGTTGTTTGAAAACATCTGGACTCTATTATTTTTCAGCCTCTTTGGTAACACATTGAGCCATCAGGCTAAAGGGCAAGCACCTGGCATTTGGTGATAAGTAAAGATGTTCCTTTTTGGCCCAAAGAGATGACCTTTCTTTCCTTGCTTGAAGACAGCTTGAAATACTCTACAGTGCCTAGAATATGATCTGGGAAAAAAATTCAATGAAATCCTTAAGATGAAGGCTTTATTCCAGATGTTTGAAACTTGAATTGTAAAAATGTTAGAAATAATTTATAATGGCATTTAAAAAACTAGATATGGGAGAGTGCGATGCTGATAACACCAAGGCCCCGGGTTCGGATCCCATATAGGGATGGCCGGTTCGCTCACTGGCTGAGCGTGGTGCTGACAACACCAAGCCAAGGGGTTAAGATCCCCTTACCGGTCATCTTTTAAAAAAAAAAAATAGATATTAGCCAAATAATAGTATAAAAGCAGTAAGAGACATTTCTTAAAATAAAGGGGAAATTATCCAGAAATACATACTGGACAAATATTTCTTTTAACTTTTTTCTTGTTCTCTTGTTCATATGTAAATACATTTTTACATAATTTTGATCATAGGTTATATTTTGTTTTCTGCCTTTTTATAGGTCAGTATTGAAGTCTCTTATAGCAGTAAGGTGCCACATTACATTTTTATACCTTTTATTAGGAACAATTTCAGACATACACAGAAGTGGACAGAATAGTGTAATACATCTCATGTACTGTTATCAGCTTCAGCAGTATTAACTCATGCCAGTCTTGTTTTATTTATTTCTCCCAGCCTCCCCCTCAGTAAATTTGAAGTAAACCTCAACATCACTGATTTCATTTATTAAATATTTCAGGGGGCCGGCCCGGTGGCGCACTGCTACAGTGTGCCGCTTGGGAGCGGGGCAGCGCTCCCGCCGAGGGTTCGGATCCCACATACAGACCGGTTCCCGCTCACTGGCTGAGCGAGGTGTGGGCGCGACGCCGAGGGTTGCGATCCCATTGCTGGTCCGGTCCGGTACGGGCGCGACACTGAGGGTTGCGATCCGATGCCGGACACGAAAAAAAGACAAAAAGGAAAAAAAAAAAAATTTCAGTACTTATCTAAAGAGGACTCTTCAAAAAAAGCAAACATAATATCATTATCATTCCTAAAAATAATTAACAGTGGAATCTTTTAATATCATCAAATATCCAGTGTTCAAATTGCCCGTTGTCTCAAAACATCATTAGATTTGTATTTTATTCTTTTGATGTTTCAATTTCTTTTTTTTTTTTTTTTCCTTTTTGTCATTTTTCGTGTCCGGCAACGGATCGCAACCCTCAGTGTCACGCCCATACCGGTACCGGACCGGGACCGGCAACGGGATTGCAAACCTCGGTGCTGCGCCCGCACCTCGCTCAGCCAGTGAGCGGGAACCGGTCTGTATGTGGGATCCGAACCCTCGGCGGGAGCGCCGCCACGCTCCCAAGCGGCGCACTGTAGCAGTGCGCCACCGGGCCGGCCCAGTGTATTTTATTCTTAAAAATTTGTTTAAATCAAGATCCAGATAAGATGCAGATATTGCAATTGGTTGATAAGACTTTTTAAAAGTCTTTTAAGTCTGTTTTAATCTTTTTTTTCTTTGAAATTTGTTTGTTGAAGAAATCATGTTGCTTATCCTGTGGATTTTCCAGTCTGGAGTTAGCTGAATGTATCCCTGTGGTGCCATTTAACATGATACTCTGGCTTCTGTGTTTCCTGTCAATTGGTAGTTGGATCTAGAGCCAGATTCCATTTTATTTATTTATTTATTTATTTATTTGCTGGCTGGTACAGGGTTTGAACCCTGGACCTTGGTGTTATCAGCACCATGCTCTACCCAGCTGAGCTAACCTTAGGCCAGCCCAGATTCCCTTTAAATGTTATGTATATACTGCTTCCCAGGTTCTTCAGGGTTTATGAAGATAGTAATGGGGGACGTGAGTCACTTTTCTGTATTTTATTTTATCTTATGCATTTATTTATTTTGGCAGCTGGCTGGTAGAGGGATCAAACCCTGGATCTTGGTGTTACCAGCACCACGCTGATATTTCGGTATTTTAAAGTGCTATATATTTTTAGCTAATAAGGCTATATAAGCTAACAACACTGTCTAGTATCTTTGATTTTTGCCTGGAATCATGGCATCTCATTGTGATAAACCAGTTATTCTATACTGATCAAAAGTGTTGTGTGAAAATTATTTCAGTCACTGATGAATACAAATGGGCAAATGTATTATTATAACAGTAATAATGCCATTAATTTGGTAGACAAAATCTTTTTAAACATAGGTTCATAGGAGAAAATAGAGGGATCATTAGGGTGGAGCAGGATTAGAACCAGTGCATTTGTAGATCTCCTGAACTCCCGCCTACATTATAAATGTCCCGAAGCTCATCCTTTAAGCCCACAAGAGGAGTTCCCTGCAGAGGCTAATATGGCTTCTCCAGTGGGATTGTAGAGAACAGTAAAGTTCTTCTTTAGAGTGACTTCTAAAAAACTTTCTCCCTCATTTAAAATTTAAAATTTTATTTTATTTTTGAGTAGATAACATATTTGCATTGTTCAGAATCCTGAATGCATGGTAGAATATACGGTGAAAAGTCTGCTTTCCACCTCTGTCCTCCCAGCCACATGGTTTCTCCCTGATGACAGCCTCTGTTAACAGTTTCCAGTCTGTCCTTCTAGAGAGATTTAATGCACACAAGCAAATAGTGAAAAGTCTGCTTTCCACCTCTGTCCTCCCAGCCACATGGTTTCTCCCTGATGACAGCCTGTGTTAACAGTTTCCAGTCTGTCCTTCTAGAGAGATTTAATGCACACAAGCAAATACATATTCTTTTTGCCTCCTTTTCATATGAGTGGTATCGCATGCTGTTCTTTGCCTCACTAAGAAACTATTGCAAGAAGGTGCTTTTACTTTCCTTAAAAACTCAAATGGTAGTAAATGAAATATAAAGAGATTTCTTTAGTAAGACTGAGCATGCTTTTCAATAACCCACTTTGTGTAATGGAGGCAGTGTAGTACAGTGGCCTGGGAGTTGGGTTTCTAGTCCTAGCCCTGCTGCTGACGTACGTGTCTTGAGTAAGTCATTCCTGTTCTGACTGTCTTTCTTCCTATGTAGAAGTAGGAGGGCTGGACAATATGATTTCTAGTGTTAGAAATGCTACAACTGTGAATCAGTGTAACATGCTATGGCCCTGGTGGTTTTGTTCAGCTAGAGGCTACGAGTATGTTTTGGAGCCCTCTCCCGTCCCACTGCCTCTGGACAAACCTCAGGAGACAAAGGTGCTGCAGGTCTCCTGTGGCAGAGCACACTCTCTCGTCCTGACAGACAGCGAAGGAGGTGAGTTGACCTGTTGAAGGCTGATTGAGGAGTGGGGGGACCACTTTATTGTGAGATGGAGCCTTGCCCTTGGGCCTGAGTGGCTTGTTTAAGCCACATGGCACTTCCTGAGCAAACCAGTAGGATTGCTCAGGAGAGCTATGTTGGAAAGACCTTGCTAATTCTTATGTCCCCTGCTCTCTGTGGTTCTTGGAAAATCCCAGGTATTTATAAATGTGACAGTGCATACAGGGGAGCCTTATCAAGGCTTTGTGCTCCCTTTGTCGTGAAGTCACCAAGCTGGGCTGTGTGCATAGATGGCTTTTTGTATTGGTACTAATAGAAGCTTGTTCGCTATCAATTTTTCCAAGTGGTGGGGGGCATTCAGAGTTCAGGCCCTGGGTAACACGGCCCCTCTTCAAAAGAGGGTTGTTTCCAGGGAAAGGCCAACATGACTCCATTTTTCAAATTTCATTTTCTGGCAAAGTGTGCTCTCTGGGAAAGGGTGAAGGTGGTATTTAGGAGTTCTTTTAAGAGGGGATTTGGCATGCAGGGCAACTTAGGCACAGGGAAAGGAGTGCTAGCTTATAATTTGGAATTCCCAAGAGGCAGATCTAGGGCTGAAGGGGAAGGCAGGTCTAGACCCAGACACACACGTCGATGTGCTCACAGAGGCTAGAAATGTTGAAGAAGGAAACCGAGTGGCAGTTAGGGTAAGCGGTTGGACGAGGACCACTTTTGAGACCTCTTTTTAGTCCTGACACTCTAGGGTTCCATGAACATGCAGAACTGATTTAATTTGTGGCGTTATTCTTTAGTTTTCAGCATGGGAAACAACTCTTATGGGCAATGTGGAAGAAAGGTGGTAGAAAATGAAATTTACAGGTGAGTTTTCCAAAGGACAGCCCCTTCCGCATACCAGATGTGCTTGAGAGAGAGCTGTGAGAAGTTGGTGGAAAGTTGTGGAGTGTTGTTCTCTTTCAGGTTGAGCTCGTACGTTAGCTTGGTGGGAGTGGAGGGTGGGTGAGCATTAGTTGTGATGCGTAGAACTTCTTTGAATTAACTTTTTTAAATTAATTTTTCATTTTACCAAATTGATTAACTTAAAAAATTTCCCTTCATTTCAATCCTATTCATTTTCCTGTTTTAAAAAATTTCCCTGTAGCTCCTCATGTTATGCTGGTAGGCCTGAACACCAGTCTCAGCTCTGCATATTAAAGTCACCTAGGATTTTGTTTTGTTTTGTTTTTCTTTCACTCCCAGGCCTAACTCTGCCTTATATTTGACCTTGAGAGTTGCCCTAACAGTTACTGTGTGCACATGGGGGTGATGGGGAGGGGCCGGGACTGCACAGTGCTTATCATGACCATATCTCGTATTTCTTCCCAATTTGCTCCTGGCTGTAGCGAAAGTCACAAAATCCATAGAATGCAGGACTTCGATGGACAGGTGGTCCAGGTGAGAGACATGGGCTGAGAGCTGCTTGTCCTGTCCTCAGGGGTGCTTTTGAAAGGTTGAAAGTTGGGTGGGTTGATGGTAAATTTGTTAGGGGGATTTTCTGAATTAATAAATTATTTTAATAAAAATTATTGCCTGTCTACTACAGCAAGGACTTATGCTAGATCCTAGGGATACAAAATTTAATAAGATTTAGGGAGATAACTCTTAGTGGGAGAACAGGTTAAACTAGCTGTATCACAGTGTCATTAGTGCCATGGTCTTCCAGGCTGGCTGTGTCTTGCTGGGAGATAACTCTTAGTGGGAGAACAGGTTAAACTAGCTGTATCACAGTGTCATTAGTGCCACGGTCTTCCAGGCTGGCTGTGTCTTGCTCACAGTTTTATTTTCATCCTTGGAGCAGTGCCCAGCACATGGCAGGTACATAAAGTAAATATTTAAATACATACATGAACATGTACAGAAGTGCTATGAGAGCACCAGAAGGGGAATTGTTAAGTCTACCAGGGATGGGATGGAAGGGAGAGAGTGCATCCTAGAGGAGGTGGCAAAGGAGCTTACTGGATAGGCCAGAGATGGATGATAGGAAAGGTTTTATGACAGAGGGGAGGGGTAGTCTGAAGGCTGTAAGACTGCACGTTGTGTCTGGAGTGTTGTGTGCTTATGGGGAGTGGTGTGAAATAGTCTGGAAGACAGACTGAGAGTGAACCACATCTTGCTAAGGAGTTTGGACTTCATCTTTTGACACTTGGGGGCTGTCAAAGGTTTGAAGCAGGGCAAGTGACAACCAAATCATGATCCATTTACGAAGAAAACTTTGGCCATGGAGTGGAATTGGGCGTGGAGGTGATGAAGGCCAGTAGGGAAGATGTGGGGAGAGAGACAGGTGGGAGAGACCTGTAAGCGGAATTGCCAGATACAGGGCTTGATGAGATGGATAGGGAGTGAGCTGGAGGAGTAGAGTGTGGCCCAGTAGGCAGATGAGTGGGCGCTGAGGTTCCTGACCATGAGGAGAGGACCAGAGGAGGGGCAGGCTTGGGGTGGGTAGGAGGGGAAAGTGAGGGAGAGGTAGAGAGTGAATTTGGTGTTAAGGTTGCAGTAGAGCATAGTGTTTATTGCACAGGCTTCAAAGTCACATGGATGTGAGTTCAAGTCCCTGCTCCTCTGCTTATTGATGGAGTGACTTTTGGCAGGTTTGTTTGTCTGAGACTCAGTTTCTTACTAGGTAGCTTTGGCTGTTGACTTAGCACGGAGCCTGGCATTATAAGTGTTCAATAAATGGTGCTTTTCTTTAGCCAGTTAGAAAAATCAGTCCTGGAACTCAGTAGAGTGCTTGAGACTGGAGATAATAGTGTGGAGGTGGCAGTTAAGCCTTGGGAGTCTATGCAGTCTCCCAGGGAAGCATGGAAAGTAGGAGAGAAGAGGGCAGAAGACAGTGCTTGGAGAGATTCCAGCATGAGAGGGAATGAAGTAGAGGCTGAGCTTGTGACCAAGAATGGAAGTTATTAAAGAACAGAAGAGAGGGACGGGGAGGAGAAGAGTTAAGGAGGATGGGGCGGCGCCTCTGAGATGGAGTGGGATGGATGGAAGAGCTCTTGCATTTGCTCCTAAAGGCCACTTTACTTTAGCAAGAGCAGTTTCAGAGGCATGGGAATCAAAAGCTAGGCTGCGGTGGATGGAGGAAGAACAAGCTATGGGGGCAGCATGCGGCAGCCTGCCTGGGCACGTCCCTCCTGTGCTCAGGAGCGGTTGGGAGTGCTGCTGGTTCTTTGGCTCCGTTGACTAGGACACTGTGTTCTGAGTATTTCTTCTCATCAGCTTCACTTCTCTGTCTGCCAGGTCGCCTGTGGTCAGGATCATAGTCTGTTCCTAACGGATAAAGGAGAAGTCTATTCTTGTGGATGGGGCGCCGATGGGCAAACAGGTAGTGTACTTGTCACCCTTCTGGGGCAGTGAGAGCTCTTCGCACCTGTAGTGTGGAGCTGTGAGTTGGAGGGCCTTTATGGTCTGGAGCCCACCTTCCTTAATTTGGCTCTTACCCCTTGTCACTTCCCATTCCCCTCATCCCGGGCTCCCGTAGGCATGACCTGAGGAAGCACTGGAGGTCACATTAGCCACTCCTCAGCAGAGGGGCTCTGAGCCTTTCAGCAGAGAAAAGAAACTCCTTAAAGAAGAAACAAATGCCACCCAAAAGGCAGTCGATTTTAACTGATTTGGGAAGAGTGTGATTAAGGGAGGAAGGAATGAGGCACAGGCTTTATCCACCTCGTATATTCCATCTTCTTGTTTTCTCATGTTTGTCTGAATGGGGGGCCTTTAAGTTTAGGATATAAATCATGTATAACTCCTGTCTGATCCTAGCACTACATCGCATCATCTTTGTGTATTGCCTTGTTCATTTGTATACATCTTTTATATTGTAATATAGCATAGGTGTAGTTTTATATATTGTTTTGAAATTATTTAAATTCACATAAAACATTTTTCTGTGTTGGTATGCTTTTCAGAATTACAGATTTTAATATTTGAATAACACGGCATAACATTAATACACAATAAGGCATTTAATCATTTTCCTGTTGTCAGGAGGCATTCTTTTGGAGGATGGAAGGAGGCATTGGAGATATTATTACATTTATCATGTACACACATGTGGCTTCTTTTCATTTGGATTGTTTCTCTAGGATGAATTCCTAGGAGTGGATCAAAGGCTTAGAATATTTTTATTGTTTTCAGATTATGTTGTCATATTGCTTTCTAAGTTTACCAGTTTATACTGCCGTCAGCAATGTAGAGAAGTACCACTGTAATCATAACCTTTAGCAATGAGTATTATCCACTTCAGTGTGCTAATTTAATAACTATGCCAGTTTTTTTTTTTTTTCCCTTTTTTGTCTTTTTTTTGTGAGCAATGAGTATTATCCACTTCAGTGTGCTAATTTAATAACTATGCCAGTTTTTTTTTTTTTTTTCCCTTTTTTGTCTTTTTTTTGTGACTGGCAACGGATTGCAACCCTCAGTGTCGCGCCCGCACCGGGCCGGGACCGGCAACGGGATCGCAACCCTCGGTGTTGCCCCCGCACCTCGCTCAGCCAGTGAGCGGGAACCGGTCTGTATGTGGGATCCGAACCCTCGGCGGGAGTGCCGCTGCGCTTCCCAAGCGGCGCACTGTAGCAGTGCGCCACCGGGCCGGCCCTAACTATGCCAGTTTTTAATATTTGCGTTTCTCTGATAACTGTAAAGTTGAAGCTTCTCTTTATGTTTAAGATCTTGGTGTGGGTAATTATTTAAAAATCAGCTATTTATAAAAATAATAAAATTGTTGATAACATTCCGACAGCATAGGAAGGAATAAGGTGAAAAGAAAAAGTCTCACTCACTGGAGATACCTGTGGTCAACAGTTTCTTAGTTGTCTTTCCAGAAACTTGCTGTTCACAAGCTGCATGTCCTCTGGCACCACGCCTGCTTCCTGGGTTCTGAGTCCAGCCATAGGGGCCTCTCCTTCGTCAGTTGCTGGAACATGCCCACTGCTCTGCTGCCACAGGCCCTTTGCACATGCTGTTCACTTAGTCTGGACGCTCTTTGCTCTCTTTTTCATCCTGTAGGCTCAGCTTCTCTGACCATTCTAAATCAGTTGTTCCATCTCCCTGGCAATTTTTATCCTGGCATTCTATTCTTTTCTCTTATTGTCCTTCAACATTTTGAATTACTTATTTTAAATTTGTTATTATACATGTATTATAGTATATACAAAAGCCAGTATGTAGACAGATTCAGTGCAATCCCTATCAGAATTCCAACTGCTTTATTTGGAGAAATGAACAAACTGATCCTAAAATTCATGTGGAATTACAAGTGACCCTGAATGGCTAAAAAATTTTTTTGAAAAAGAATAAAGAAGACTCATTCTTTTCACACTTAGTGTAGTAAATTTCAAAATTTACTATAAAGCTACAGTAGTTAAAACAATGTAGATTAGTATAAGGCCAGACATAGATCAATGGAATAGAATTGAGAGGCCAGAAGTAAACCTGTACGTTTGTGGTCCATTTATTTTTTTCCAGCTTTATTGCGGTATACTTGACCAATAATTGTATATATTTAATGTGTTAACATGATGTTTTTAAAAAAAATTTTAAAAAGGGCCGGCCCGTGGCTCACTTGGGAGAGTGTGGTGCTGACAACACCAAGTCAATGGTTAAGATCTCCTTACCAGTCATCTTTTAAAAATAAATAAATAAAAATTAAAAAAATTAAAATTTATCAATATGCAAGTGTGGTGCTGACAACACCAAGTCAATGGTTAAGATCCCCTTACCAGTCATCTTTTAAAAATAAATAAATAAAAATTAAAAAAATTAAAATTTATCAATATGCGGTGTAGTTGATTTTCTTGTCGCTTTACCAATTCCCCTCTCTCCCTCTCCCCTCTTCCCCCCATCAACATCATATCTGTTCACTTGTCTTAACAAGTTCAAAGGAATTGTGATTGTTGTGTCTTCTTTTTTCCCCTCCTATTTATCTGTATATTCAATATGATGTTTTGATGTATGTATGCATTGTGAAATGATTACCACAATCAAGCTAATTTAACCTGTCCATCACCTCACATAGTTATGATTTTTTTTTTTGGCGGTGAGAACACTTAAGATCAACTTATGGTTCATTATTTTTGACAAGAATGCCAAGACCATTCAGTGGGGGAAAGAATAGTGTTTTCAACAAATGCTGGGACAACTGAATATCCACATGCAAAAGAATGAAGGTGGACCTCTACCTTACACCCCCTATATAAAAATTAACTCAAAATGCATCAAAGACATAAATGTAAGAGCTAAAACTATAAAACTCTTAGAAGAAAATTTAGGTATAAATCTTTGTGACCTTGGATTAGGCTATGGTTCCAAAGCAAAAGCAACAAAAGGAAAAATAAAATGAACATCATAAAATTTAAAAACATTTGTACATCCAAAACACACTATCAAGAAAATGAAAAAACAACACACAGAATGGGAGAAAATATTTGCAAACCATATATCTGATAAGGATCTAGTATCCAGAATATGTAAATAACTCTCATAACTCAATAACAAAAAGACAATCCAGTTAAAAAATGGTCAGATGTTTTATTTAGACATTTCTCCAAAAAAGGTTATACAAATGGCCAGTCAGCATATGAATAATGCATGCATAATTAGTCATTAGGGAAATGCAAATCAAAACCACAATCATATGTCAGTTCATACCCTCTAGGATGGCTACAATAATAAAACAAGCAGAAAATAAGTATTGGTGAGAATGTGGAGAAATTGGAACCCTCATATGTTGCTGATGGCAATGTGAAATGGTGCAGCTGCTGTGGGAAACAGTTTGGTTGTTTCTGTAAAAGTTAAACGTAGAATTACCATATGGCCCAGCAGTTCCACTCCTACATATGTACCCAAGAGAAATGAAAACATGTCCACAGAAAAACTTGTACACAAATGTTCATAGCAGCATTATTTATAATAGCCAAATAGTAAAAACAGCCCACATGTCCATCAACTAATGAATGGAGGAACAAAATGTAGTATATCCACACAGTGGAGTATTATTCAGCCATAAAAAGGAATGGAATGTTGATGTCCATGTGTTCCTCCCCTGCTCCATCCCCTCCCTCGCCCCAGGGCGATTCACTATCCTGTTTCATCTCCATTATTCCTTTCACTGAGGGAGAAAAGAATTACACACACACACACACACACTCTCTCTCTCTCTCTCTCTCTCCCTCCCTCTCAC